TTCTCCCTCAGTTCCCATCTTAGAGTTATGCTCTGGCAGATCATGGTTAGAAGGGGCTTTTTGTTTGCTTGCTTGCTTGCTTGCTTGCTTGGGTTTGTTTTGGGGTTTTTTTGGTGGGGGGTTTTTTGTTTGTTTGTTTTTGGTTTTGTTTGGTTGCTTGTTTGGATTTTGTTTTGTTTTTCTCATAAGAATGCATTTTTTATAAGGAGGATTGGGTTTTCATCTCTGTGTAGTCAGACTGCCCAGTAAAACAGGTTAGTGACTGAAAAATGGTTCAGGTGCTTGGTGCAGAAAAGAGAGGTGTAAGACCCCTTATAGAGTTCATGATTCTTACTGATTGAAAAAATAAAGAGACAGTTCCAAAACTGTAGAGAGATCTTAGACTTCTGTGTGGTGCTGTGCCTGTGCAAGTCAGATTGAAGTATGATTTAATCTTTCTTTGTATGTGTGAGTGGAGTGTATTGTTCTTTGTCCTTGCCACAACAGGCTCATCCTGCTGGAGCTTTGTAAATCTTCTGCTTATCTGTGAATTTCACTCTGTGATCAAGGCTCAACTGTGCTCCTGTGGTTTATGTTCTGAGCACTTAAACCCCTCACTTTTGTGTCAGCACACAACAGACCACATGCTTCCATCTGTGGCATTGTATATGACCATGGCTCGGTGTCTTTGTTACATTATGCTGGAAATGCTTTTAGTTCTGCATCAGGCTGGCATTCAGGACCACCACTCAGCTTTGGCTCAGCCAGGACATGAAGGAATCATTTCATCCTTTGCTGGTTAGATTAATCAGTTTGGCCAACTGACATCTCTAAATGAAGCTGGATCCCAGCTCCTCACAGCTGTCTGTGAATCTGGTGAAAGAGGAAGGAAGTGAGGCTTGCTTCTTGAAGGAGAGTCACAGGAAAGGGGGCTGGTGAAGGTACAATGTCATATTGCTGTTACTGCAACAAAAAAGAGGCTCATTAGTGTTGTGGTGGTTATTGTCAAGCTGGTGACAGCTATTCAAAAAATATCAGAGCAGTTAAGCCTCATTGAAGGAGGACAGTATTTTTTCATGTGACCAAAACAAGAAAAATATGGTGCTTATAGGTGATTTGGTGGGACACTGGGTGGAGGTGCATACTGGCTTAGTATTTTTTCATTTGCATATTAAAAAATTGTCTGTCTGTTTATTATCTAGTGTTTATTATCTAGTAGGAATGGCTTTTGCAGAAGCTCCAGTGCATAACTTAATTTCTGGCTGTCAGTCTGGAAATGACAATTTCTTTACCTCTGAAGGGAGTTCAATGATGTTCTAAGTCTTTGAACTTCTGTTTCCTTCCTGTTTTCCAGCAGCATATGCTGGCAGAGAGACAGCTCTCTCAGGAGATGTCATAAGCTTCAGTACCTCCTAGAAACAGGGCCTTTGGGAGTATTTGCTCCCTTTGCACAAAGTGGAGAAATGCTTAAATCCTATTTCTGTGCATCCTGAAAGCTTGATGAATCAAGATCCTGTCAATAGTTTTGCAAGCCTAGAATGTCAATAACCCCCTAGGAGGTTTGTACCTTCTGTAACTTGGCTCTCTTATTCTTCCCTCCCTGGCATGAACATTCATCTTAACATGTCTCACAAGCCCTGGGATACTTCCAAAAACATGTGTTTCAGGGAGGGAATTGATGAAATTCCTTCATGTATCTTTCTGTTCCCAGTACTGAACCATCCCAACACAGCCATGCTCCAGAGTGGTAATAAACAGTTCACACAGGCAGCTCTTCCCGTGTGCCTGCCCCTTCTGGCCACTAACCACAGCCAGGAGGGGGCTGCTCTGGGTGTGTGTGTGTGTCCTGGCAGCAGTTGGTACTCAGCTTTTTTCACCTCTGAGGTGTCAGTGGTTTATTCTGTGGGCAGTAGTGAATGGGATGCTCTGCTGGTTCTGTATTGCTGTGAACATACCAGTGCTGCAAACTTGGGGTGTAAGCTTTGCTGCTGGGGACATGAAGGGTTGTGCAGAATCAGACTTGTACTTTTTCTTCTATTGGCCCCAGTTTAGAGTGCATACATGGAGGTAATTGAAGAAACCTATTATGGGGAGTGTGAAAGCTTAGGAAGCAGGTCATTGCATTGTCTGTTCCAGGCATTCTGGATGCCTTTCTTCTGCTGGATGGGGCCCTGGTTTGCAGAGGGTGCTGCATTCTGTCAGAGTTGCCAGGGAGAGAGAGCTGGTCCAGTAGGGAGCAGAGGTATTTGACTTTCTCAGTTTTTCAGGTACCACCACTCCATCATCTTACCCACCCAAGCCTTGCCTTCAGCAATTTTCAGTGCCATCCACACTGTCTACTAGACCTCCCCAAAGCTGCAGGCTCTGAGAAGCTTTGTTCCCCTCAGGCTGCCTCACAAAGGACAGCCCAGGATCAGCTCAGTCGTGTTGAGGGTGGAGGGTGTTGATGTTCTGGCTGCCTAATCCAGACATTTTTTTATCTATTTCCTGGCACTCAGGCAGTGTTCTTCCATCACAGTGAAGATGACATTTTAAAATACTTGTGTGTGTGCTCCTGGATGATGTGATGACACATGAAGGTTGGGATTAGAGGAAAGGGGAGGTAGCTAATTCTGCAGTCCCTTCCCTGTGAACAGGACAAGTCAGGCATAACTGCCTGAACACACTTATCAGCTGCTTCTCTCCTGTCCAAGTGCTCTGTGGAGGTGAGGAGGAATCCACTTTGCAGTTACATAGCTGTGCATCTCCTGAAGACCTTACCTGAGAAGGCCAGATCAGGGATCTGCAGCTGCCTGATGTGGATGGTGTTTCCAAGCATTTTGAGAGTGCTGTTGCAGTGTGAATGAGTGCCATGGCTAATTTTTTACATAACTGAGAAATCTTATCGGTGTAGGTGGCACTTGATGATAGAAGGGGAACCATCAGTGAGCTAGGAGGGCTCCTAAAGCTAAAAGGGCTCCTAGTACAGTGGCCAGGCTTACACATGGGCATAGCTCAGGAGAACAGGGAACTGTGGGACTGAGCTCCTTGCTGCAGAAAGATACTGTGCATGACTCCCAAGCAATTCCAGATACTTGCTTTGGTATAAAGGTGTAGGGAAATTGTCCTATCTGCTCTTGAGTTTTGGCAACTGCTGCGGTGACACTGGCTTTTACCTGCAGCTCTCCACCAGTGCTAGGATAAGTAAGTGTTAAACTGCTAAAAATATCTCTGGTGCTCAAATGGTTTTGCAATTTAGTCAAAAACCTCTCCTGGACAGAAGAATGTGAAATGTGTTGTTTATCTACTGCTTTGTCTGATCCCAACTGCCCTGAGATGTTGCATGGGCTCACAGTGAAAGGAAGTTTAGCCTCATAAGGTGCAGTATTAAAACACTGGTTACAAAATTACTGCAGAAAGAAAAGGTAAAGGTAATAGTTAAAACTCATGAGGCACAGGACAATGGCTTCTCTGAAGCTTATTTAAGAATAAATCTCCTCGAGAACAAAGTCCTCTTGAAAAGCTGCTGCTTAGATTCCCGTTAACCTTTTCTGAAGAAGTAAATTGAATTGCAGTTATAAACTGGCAGAACTCATACCAGAACATTTTTGGCTTCAGTCAGCACTTCATCTCAGGGTTTATTAGCATTTACAAGCACTACCTGTGCTGCATTCTCACGTGTTTAGGTTCAAGAGTCGTTTGCACTAAGGCAATGTGGCAAGTTTTTCTTTTGCTTCCTAAATCTTGTTCAAAATCCAATTACTTGAACTTTGCCCAGCTGTTTGTTGCTGTTTGTCCCCCAGTAAGAGGGTCGCTTCGAGGTAGAACATGAGAATGTGTGCTCTGGGGTTTAAGGACAGGCCTGGGTTACCATGCTCTGATGGAGCACCCTGGGTGGGTTGACTGATTCTCTGTGCCCCAAAATGTCTCAAGAGGGATCTTGATGATGTATTTTCTCTTATGAAGTCTGGGAAACTGATGTGAATTTGAAGGGAAAAATCTGGATTTCTCCATCTTTCAGCCAGGCAGATACATGTTGTCAGCGGAAGTTATTGGGGCTGTTCTGCAGGATCATTGTGACCTGCCAGAAAGAGAGGAAGTTCTGAGCAAGACAAATATCCTGTTTTCAGTGCGGTTTCCTCAATTTTGGCTTGTTGAAAATTCTGCAAGAAAAGTTCTAGCATGTGTCAGATACCACATGTGCCTATACCTACTAGTCAGGGTAATGGAGATTCAACACTCCAGAGTTCACACAGGTAAACAGAGAGGGTTTTTTAGAAATGTTTTCATAATACACTGAATTCCTTTTTAAAAGTAAACTAGAATATTTGGTCCTAGGAGAAGTCCTCTTGAGATGATCAAGTCTAACCTTTGATGTAACTCCATCATGTAACTAAACCATAGCACTAAGTGCCATGTCCAGTTATTTCTTGAGCACTTCCAGGAATGGTGACTTCATCATCCCCTGTGCAGCCTGTTTCAACACCTGACCACCCTTTCAGTGAAGTTCATCCTACTGCAACAAAGCTCTGTTGCCAACCTCGTTGGTGCCATATCTGTGTAAAATAGTCAAAATCTGTGTGTTTTTTCTAAGGCTTCTAGGGTGTCTTATGGTGGGGCAGGTCTGCACCTTGACACTGCATACCCACAGTACAGAGGGGTTTTTGCATTCCTCATTCCTTTCAATAGGTCTCCTGCCAGACTAATAGGAAAGCCTGGCTGTTAGGTTCACCCCAGTCTCTCGTGAACAGCTGTAGGGAAAGGATAGCAGCAAGGATTTCCTGGGCCTCTCTCATGTGGAATCTGTGTTGAGTCACTCTTAAAAAATATCACCAGTTTGCTGCCTGCCAGTTGGACTGTACTACTGGGATAACAAAGAATATTTAACAATCACAGAAACTATCAGGGGTGTTCTCTGCCATCATAGTAGTTTCCTAGTTTAGTGGACATTTGTAAGTGGAAGCCTGCCTATGTTTCATATTTATTGTGTAATAGGTGTCTTTTGTCTAAGATGTCCTTCATGATACTTTCTTTTTTTCCAGATTGTCCCCAGCCACCACAACCGGAGAATGGAGGCTATAAATGCCACCCTAGCCCCTGCAACAACCCTCTGACTTCAGGCAGTGTCATAGAGTATCTGTGTGTTGAAGGTTACATGCTGAAAGGAGATTATAAATACTTGACCTGTAAGAATGGAGAGTGGAACCCAGCCATGGAAGTCAGCTGCAGGCTCAGTCCAGGTGAGTGCTCCCTGACTCTAGAATTGCCCTTGCAGTGACTTTCCAGATTATCCTTAAACACTTGGTATGATGCTGAGGAAGTCCATATGGCTGTCTCTCGTTGCTCCAGCAATTTCATAAACGTAGCTCACAATCATGACTCATTCTTAAAAACACCTCTTCAGTAGCAGCCCATTAGATGCAGAGAGTCTCTAATAAAAGGAAAAAAGCCATGGAGAGGAATATAAAGTAGGCAGCTTGTAACTTACGTGGAGCCTCTTTCCTTGAGGTTCTCATCCCAGTAATGCTGGAAGCCCTAACAGTAACATTTTCCATGCTGTCTGGTTTTCCTTGATGGGTTTGACAGTACATCTCCCTCAGAGAGTTTGCACACACATGTTTGTGTGTGTGTGTGTGTAGAGTCGTTCTTCCTTGCCAACAGGTTAAGTAGCTGTTGGTTTCCTGTGTCAAAAAGATTGATGGTGCTGCTTTTCACTGTACTGGCCAGAAAGGACATTGCTGACAAATGGTTTCTGCTTCTCTCCGAATGGAAGTAGACAACTTTTGTTTTGTGTCTCTCCCAGATGGACAGGAATTCCTCCATCAAACCAGCAAAGTAAAAAGATTTGCAGGAAAATATTCATCGTACAGCTCTTAATTTGTCTACTTTTCTTCTGGTTTTAACAGTGGGTATATGGGATAAAGGGAGAACTCCCTCCCCTCTTCTGGGTGGGCTTGTTGATAGAGCCTTCAGTCATCCTGAGCCAGCAGGAATTGTGTCTTTGGAATTGTGTCTCACAATACATAAAGCAAAATGTGTCAGCTTAATTGGAAAGAAACAGGAAGAAAAAAACAGTACTTTCATCAAGCTCTTTATGGAACTCACTGCATACCTGTGATCGCTGGAACATCCTGTCCTGTCCCAAAGACAGTGTCTTTTCAGTGTCTCTGCCACTCCAGTAGCCCCTTCCTATGATTTACAAGGAAGGATCTGAGAGTTTACCTGGCAACAAATAGATCCTGAAGAGGTTTTTCAAATTCAGCTTAAACTTCCTTTCTACAGTGATCCCCCTTCCCCTTGCTGCACCCAGGCTGGAGAACAAAGCTGTGCTATTGCACATGGAGTTCCCTGAGTAGCATTCCTGCATGGTGACACTTGGTCTAGCCTAAGGATTGTGTTGTGATGAGCAGAAATCTCTCAAATTGCTTTAGCATCTTGAAGGGTCAGTGGCATTATCAAAAATATGCCTCAAAAGTCTGACCCAATGAAAAAGCCATTGCTTTCACAACACAAGCTCTGAATCAACTGTTCAGAGTCAGAGGTAGCTGACTCTTAACTAGTGGATCTCTTTCAAAAAGCTCAAAGAAGGGAAAGGAGGTGGGAGACTCCAGAAAGGCAGTAGACGTTAACATGATTGGTAAGATCCTACCTGCTCCATACAGGATAAATTAAGTCCATAGCAGTTATCACGTGTTTTGTGTAGCTCTGAGCCTGTCAGCCCCGTAGCCTTTTGGCAGTTTATTGTATGGGTTAGTAACATTTTTTTGTCATATGAGATGGTAAATATTCTGGAATACACCCTGGATAGTGAGCAGTTTGACAGTATCATGTACTGATGCTGAAAATGGAGCACCTCTACTTGCCTGCCCTTGTTCCTGTTAGTGCCCTAAGAAATGCTGAAAGTTAAAATCCTTACTCAACCCTATTTGTCACAGGGAAAAATTTGCTAGTCACTATTTTTTTCCTGGGGAGAGGTCAAGCTACTTCTAAAAGATTTCAAAGAAACAAGTTCAAAACAACTAAACCAAGTAGGTTTGACCTGAAGAGATAATGCGGAAAATTGCAAACTAGGTTTCCATCTTAAATTCCTGTTTTGGGCATAGATGTTTTCAGGCTGTAGGCTTAAAAAAAATCCTCCAGCTCTTTTTTTTCTGTTTACTTCTTGCTCTTCCTCTCATCCCTTATTGCATGTCCTGAATTCCCTCTGCAGTCTGAGCCCTGTGCTCCTGAAGAATGTGTTGCATGTAGAGAGAGGAACTGAGGAATCACATAAATCAAATATGCAATTCATTGTAGTATTTGCTGATGGATAGGTGATTTTTGTCTACCAAAGACAAAAATTAGGGACAGAAACAACACATACAATTATTTCCTCTAGGCAGGTGAAAGGACTAGTGTAGCCTTCTAGGCATGGTATGCAGTGCTCAGCAATACTACTTCTAAGCCATTCTCTCTTCACTCCCAGCTTATTCCTGCACAGGTCCTGTAAAAGCCAAATTGATTTTCATACAGTCACACAGCACAGCTGCAGAAGGGTAGGAAAGAGTAATGTGAACAGGACACATGTATCTAACCCTGAAAACTCAGCACCCTGAAACAACATCTGCATTCCTTTCTCTGTCCTCTGGTATATGTTTGTGTGAGAGAGAAACTTAATATTTGCTGTGTCTTAATTACAATAAGTGCATAATAATACCCAGCCAGTTGACTTCCACACCTCTTTGCAAAGCTGTTAAATTAGTTAAGAAAAAATGGTTTTTTGGAACTTTTTCTATTGTTTGGACTAAAATAAGCTGCTTATTGTGCTAGACTATTATTGGCCTTGTTGGTGACATCATGACATTCTCTAGTTTTTGCTCAGGCAGATCTATATATAACATGACCCTTACCACCATCTGTCAGTTCCCATGGCCTTCTTGCACTGCTTTTCCGCTTGCTCTGTGTTTTTCCAAAGGATCCTTGTATGTGCCTGTTGGATTTTGGGTTCCCTTTACAGCTGATGGAGAGGTGTCAGCTTGAGCTGCAAACTGAGATAGGTGGTGTGTCTTGCCTGTATGGGGAACTTGGCCTCCTTACAGACACAGCCAGGAGTAACTCCTGAGGAGCAGTGTGAATGTTTTTCCTTCTCTATAGCAGTTACTCACTTTACCTTGTATTCCCCTTGATTTTGTAGAAAAGGACTCTCCTCCGACAATTGGAGTGCCCACGCTGTCCATAGTAGCCTCCACGGCGAGCTCCGTTGCCCTGATTCTGCTGTTAGTTGTGCTGTTTGTCTTGCTGCAGCCAAAGCTGAAGTCGTTCCATCATAGCAGGTGAGTGTAGCTGGGGCTTGGAGGGGCCAGAGGCACCTGTTTCTTGGCAGTAGAAACCCATTCAGGTAGTTGGGTTAGACCTTCATTTTGGAGCAACTTAGCTCCTCGCTTCTCTGTTCCCTCTTTTCATCGCCTCAGTGACATCTCTGCCCCATACTACTGATCCAGTGCTTTTCTGGAATGGTGGTCTGTGATACCCACCTGCAGTTCTTACGTGCCACCCAAGGAGCGACTTCCTTGTGCTTTTGCCTTGGCTTTGAATGGAAAAAGTTACAATATTTACTAGCCTGGCTATAGATCAATTTCCTCTAGCCTTGGATAGCTGCTGAAGTCTGTCTGGGTGTATATGTGCACATCTTTACCAGACTGCTTGACCAAAAATTAGGCAGTACTACTCTTTAGATACACATGCAAGTCTGCCATCCTTCTCTGCTGTGGGAGGAGAGCCCTCCTGGCCAGGGTTTGTGGGTGAGAGGAGGGACCCAACCATAACACTGCTGCCAGCTGAGGCAGACACTTCAGCAGTGGGGAGGTGGAAAGGTGGGGCTCTGGAGTCTGCCCTCTTCTGAAAAGGCCCAAACTACTAGAAAAGAAAAATTTTCTCCCAGGCCTTATGAAGCCAGGTGATTCACACTGTGCCAGAGCTGCCTTCCCCATCCTGCCAGAGGTTATCTGGCTGGCAGCAGAACAGGCAGTGCTGGGTAGTGTGGAATGTAGCAGTACACCAGGCTGGAATCAACAGTGCTCTTTGCTAAAGGCACGGAGCAGAGGCATGACCTTTGTCAAATTTTGCTGGGGAGGTAAGTGAGGTGAGGGAAGCATTGTAACCTTTTCAGCCCTTGCTGCTAAATCCATCGGCTGCTGTGAATTTACAGCCCATGCTCATGTTTAATGGCAGTTCATCATAGGGCTCCAAGACTGTGCTTGCTTGACCTCGTTAAACCACTAAGCAAGTTTCTGTCCTCCCCTAAGTGTTGAGAGTTAGAGTTCTGCTGTAGGAGGTTACTGGAGTTCTTGGTAAGACATACATAGTAAAATAAATACTCAACTTGATTTCTTTTTTCTCCTCCCCCCTCTTTGTTCCTTTCCCTTTTTTGAGGCGAGACCAAGGTGTGTCTGGAGATCAGGTCTCTATTATGGTGGATGGTGTCCAAGTGGCCTTGCCATCCTATGAAGAAGCAGTATATGGCAGCACAGGGAATTGCATTCCACCCTCGGACTCCCGAGTGCAGATCGTGCTCTCAGAGGGAGCTGGACAGAATGGACCCAGGGAGATGCAGCAGCCGGACCAAGGGGCTCACAATACCTTTGAAAGAGAAGATGAAGCCCCTGGACGTTCTGGACTGTGTGAAGCCAGTGGCTCTCAGCGCTCTGAAACTGTTCTTGTGCATCAGGCTGCTACCTCTTCCTGGGTAGCTGGCATGGCTAACAGTAGACCTTTACACAAAGAGGTCCAAGATTCAGAAAGCAGTGACATACAGAGCCTTTTATCACTCACTTCCTCTGAGGAATACACAGACGGTAAGTGACTTGTGCAAGGAACACTAAATGGGACCTGTTTAAGAGTAGGTTCTGCAGCTGACTATCTGAGCTAAAAAATGACAAGGGATGCCCCTATGTGTGTCTGCCACTAGAGCAGCTTTTGAAAAGATCCAGTCTCTATAGCATGTTTCACCTCTTAAATATGCCAGCAGTATTTAATACCTTCTTCTGAAGAATTTGGTGTTCTCAGACTGGGAGCCTAGGGCAGTCTGAGCAAGATTGTTTACTGCTTACTCTTGTTTTAGCAGAGGATTTTCAGAGAAATCCAGCCTCCAGCATCGTAGTGCAAAAGCAGTAAAATAACCGTTTGTAGAAACTAAGTTGGTGGGAGTGGGAGGACATGCTTGGAGTACAAACCTAGTGATGTTTGGGCTGCTTAATTTTTAGACTATTTTAGTAAGCAGCTTTCTGCCACAAAGCATTCAGTGCTGTAGCCTTAGCCTGCAAAACCTAAGAGGGATGTGCTTGAACTTACTATAGAGGGTAGAGGGGCAAGTCTGTTGAACAGACAAAACATCTTTTATTCCTCACTTCTGTGCTGTCCTGAAGGAGTGGCTTTGCAATGCCAGAGATGATGTGAAGGTGTAGCTGGAAGTTGCTTCTGCAGGAACTGCTGTGTCTTAGGCAGGAAATGTAATTAGCTTGTAGATAGCTCAGGGCAGAACTTCCCCTTTCCATGGTATTAAGAGATACTTCGTGCTAGGAGGGTAATGGAGGACCAGATAGACACTCAAAGTGATGATGGAATCTTTGTCCTTGGAGTCTTTCAAGGCTGGAGCTGGTGATAGTCCCACTTTCAGAGGCAGGTTGGAGCAGAGTCCTCTAGAGTTCCTTTCTGCTGTCATGTGATGAGAGGGAGACCACTGCATTGTCATGTTATGAAAGTGAGAGCCTGTCTTGTTTTCAATGGTAATTTTTCTGGTGTGTGTTGAACTGCAGAAGTTTGACTACTTTTTCTTTTTTTTTTTTCTCTCCCCACCATTCAGATATTCCCTTATTGAAGGAAGCATGAGGTCTGCTGTGTTTCTCTAGTCTTCTCCATCTTGGATTTCTTCCTCCTCCCCTCTCCCTGCCTTTGGGACAGAAGCACTCTGTGCAGTCTTCCCCATCCTCGCAAGCTGTACCCTGGATACCTCCAAGAAGAGATGCCCTCAGCTGAAGATCCAAAGGATGTCGCCAGGTTGCCTCCTGGATGCACCAGTGGAGTTGGTGCAGCGCTGGCTTCCCCATTCCATCAGCATCAGGGGCTCAAGGAACAGAGTGGATTTGAGCTCTCCTCTTCCCCAGCCAGATGTTTGACAGCAGTCTCTGAAGAGCTGCTCTTTTCTTGTGCCTTTCTCCTCCTCACACCGGCTTGTTGCAGCTTATCAGCCTTTCTAGCCCTTCTGCTGCCCAGAGAGCAGGGGCTAAACCTGCTTGCTCGCTGGGTGCAGACACAATTGAAATATACGTATCTATGTTATATAGGCTCTTCTTCCAGCAGCCTCTTTGTGATAGGGCAGGACAGAACACCTCAGTGGGACTGAAACTGGGCTTGGGAGGGATCGCAGTTAAGGGGCAGCTTGTGATGTCTAGAAGCACCTCAGATGAGATGGGCTGCGTGGCAGCTTAGCCATGCAGGAACAGTTCACTGAGAATTGCTTAAGCACTGAAGGCTGAGAAGTCCAACGTGTAGGAATGCCCTCTGTCCCATCTCTGCAGGAGTCCATTCCTGAAAATCACTTTTGTCTCCTTCTTCCTCTACCAGTGCAGCCCACTGGAAGAGGTTCAGGTGTTTGAAAACACCAAGACAAAAAAAAATGCCCGTAGGTAGTGAATTCCTAGTGCCATTGGTGCAGTCCCAAATTCCTTTTCCAGCCACAGTAGGTACTTGAACCCTGGGTAGCTACCATCTCATAGGCTGGTGTGTCTTCCTAGCTTCATTCAACAAAGGGTCTGCTGGTTTAGCCTGGTGGGCTCCAGTGGGCCCATAGAGAAGGGCTCTTCCCGTGCCGCTGGGGGTCAGCAGCATTTGTAAAGCTTCTCCTAAACAAAGTGCCAGCCTGTTGCTGTGAGGGAAAGTCGAGTACTCCGATGGCAGTGCTAGAGGACACCACAGCTCAGTCCTGAAGTTTTAAGGATTGTTTCAAGTTCTGGTAGTAGGGAAGGGAAAATTCAGAAATATGCGTACCTCTGCCCACCACAGTTATCTACAGCAGGTCAGACCGTCCGTGTTGGGACTCTGTAACTGCAGGAAGCCACATTTGTCTGGGGTACATGGTCCAGTACAAGTGCTGTGGTGGTTGTAAGATCCCTCACTGAGGTCTGGACACTGTTCCATGGGATTGGTTTCAGCAAGAAGAGTTGGCTTCTTAGATGCTGCATGTACCTTGTCATAACTGTCTTGAAGTAACCAGGGAAGTATTTGCCCTGTGAGAAGCTGCTACATTTTTGAGTTGAAGGAGCAAAATGTCATGGCCTTACACATCATGTGGTAATGTACAGGTAAACAGGGATGTTGTCTTTGCTGCTTTGCTTTTGGTTTACAGTCCTCACCATCCTCATCCTCATTGCTACAGTAAAAAACATTACACCACATGGCAAAAATGATATAACATCTTTATGTTGGCTTATGTGGGTTAGCTCCAGTTCTTTGAAATGGGGATTAGCCATAGTGTCCAGCTGTGTATTTGTTACTCCTTTTCCTGAATAGCTGTTAAATCCCAGGACACATGGAATAGTGTGTGTCTGTGGGTAGAAAAATCCTTTTTTCCCCATCTTTGTTATAGAGGGATGTTAATTTAAAATTACAGTGTTTTAAACATCCTTCCCTGTTGCTCATGTTACCTTGCATTAACACAAAAGTTTGATAAATCCCATTTGGGTGGTTTAGGTATTTTTTGTTCAGTTTGGATGGTGAAAATCCTGTGTCATTTTACAGTGGGCTGTGGTGTCTCAGCTTCAAGCGCTGTAGAGGACAAATGTTGTTTACACATCTGCCATTGGAATTTTAAAACATAAGCATGGGGACGATTGTGTTTAGCTTTTTGACTGTTGGAAATGGTCTAAGCTTGAGTAAATTCTCCTTCATTGGTTTATTGGAGGGGTTGAGCAAGTGTAGTGGTAAGGGAGTGTGGAGGAAAGTCTGTGTGATTTTCCTGCTGCCTAACCAGCTCAGAGCAGGAGTTGCTTTTTATGCATTGAAGGTCCTGTCTGCCCAAACTGACCCTCAGCAATTCAAGGTATAGAAGTTGGGAATACGTGTTGCTTCCTGAAAGGGAAGCGCTGGGTTGGTGGGAGAAGCTGGAAGCTGATCCCAAGGCCTGACCTTGCTCTGGATGAGGACCTGCACCACCAGCAGAAAACATCCTCTGTGGCCTGGCCTCCTCTCTGCTGTTGTAAAACAAGCAACGGCCAGCTTGGGAGAGAAAATTCAGTTAGGGTGGGGAAGTAAAGAAGACAAGCTCTACAAAGAGGGAGTGTTTTAATTTCACAGAATCACACATAATTAACTAGGACCTTTAAGACCATCAAGTCCAACCTATGACCGAACACCACTTTGTCAACCAGACCATAGCACTGAGTGTCACCTCCAGGGATGGTGACTCCACCACCTCCCTGGGCAGCCCATTCCAATGCCCAATCACTCTTTCTGTGAAGAATTTCTTTGTAATGTCCAGCTTAAATTTCCCTGGCACAGCTTAAGACCGTGTCACTGGTTACCTGGGAGAAGGGACCAATCCCCACCTGGCTACACCCTCCTTTCAGGGAGTTGTAGAGAGTGAGAAGGTTTCCCCTGAACCTCCTCTTCTCCAGGCTGCACAACCCCAGCTCCCTCAGCCTCCTCTCCCTCAGCCTCCTTACAGGATTTACCCTTCACCAGCCTTGTTGCCCTTGTCTGGATTCATTTGAGCATCTCGGTGTCCTTCCTAAATTGGGGGGCCCAGAACAGGACACAGCACTCCAGGTGTGACCTCACCAGTGCTGAGTACAGGGGGACAATCACTGCCCTGGTCCTGCTGGCCACACAGCACAGGATGCCATTGGCCTTCTTGCTCACCTGGGCACAGCTGGCTCATGTTCAGTCTGCCATCAGTCAGTAAACCCAGGTCCTTTTCTGCCTGGCCGCTGTGCAGCAACTCTTCCCCCAGCCTGGAGCGCTGCAGGGAGTCATTGTGGCCAAAGTGCAGGACCTGGCACTTGGTCTCATTAAACCTCCTATCACTGGATTCTATAAAATTTTTTGGAAATGGCTTTACTAATGAATGGGGGAAATGCAGAGGTGGAAGAGGGAAATATGCAAGTGTAGCTATTGTGATCAAGCATAAACAGGCAGCTTCTCTTGTCTTGTTGAGGGTAAGCCAGCAGGTTCCAGGCCAGTCTCCATAATCCCATCTGATGATTCCAGATCCTGCAGAAGAGCTCTGTTCACTGCAGCAAATCTTTTTCAAGGGGGAGGGAGAGCAAGGCCTCACTTTACTGGTTCTCAAATGATTATTATTCATTCGTGTTTGTTTTAATTCTGCAGAGGCTGAAGGACTGAGAAGGCTTTTGGTAGAGATGTAGGAAAACCTACTTTGCACAGTCCTATCTTTACTTAAGGGAGCAAGGCCTGAAGCCTAAAGATCCCTCAGGTGTA